GAGTTTTAGCCAAATGCTTTATAATATAGTATAGATATATATATATATGTGTGTGTGTGTGGGGGGGGGGGATGAACGGGGCTGCGGATTCATATGTCATGTATGAATCATCTCGTAACATAACTTTTACAAGAACTTTTTAATTTCAATGTTAAGAAACCAACATACTTGTTGAATCTTAAGAACATAATCAGTAGGTTCAAAATTCGATTAAATACCAATGGGTTAGAAAAAGTCGCTAGGTGAAATATTTAATAGTTGGCTATGACGTTAACACATTGTAGACAATTTCAAGAATAGTTACTACTTTGAATCAACCTTGGTTTAAATAATAAGAAAGGGACCAAATCTGCACATAATTAATATTTGGGGGACCATTTTTAAAAACTAAGTCAATCACAAACCCTCAATAGGCATGGTAATGGGGTCCCCTCCCATATCCCCCATCTTTGTCTCCGTCTCTGCCTCCATCCCCGTCGGGGAATTTGATCACATCTTCATTTTTATTTTCAAAGGAGAACCGGGATCGCCAACGGGAAACGGAGATTTTTTTTCTGTTTGTGTAATTTTTTTAAATCAAATGTGTGAGGCACCACACATATTTAAATCTTACATTTTTCCAAAAATATACATCATCATATAATAATTAAGATTTCGAAGACCAAAAGAAGTTAAATTTAATCAAAAACAATTATCATCATATGTACAAAAGATATCAAATTATATCTAAAACCACATCTAAGTAATATCCAAAATATATTGAAATAGAAATTAACATTTACCAATTTAATAGAAATAAATAATATATAATATAATTTATTAATTAATATATACATACGGGTAAGGGGCGGGCGGGGAGTGCGATACCCGTCCTCGTCCCCATCTCCATCCCATGTTTGAGCCAAACAAGGATCCCCGTCCCCAAACCTGGTTTAACGGGGAAGCCCCGTCCCGAACCAGGGGCGGGTGGACCTGGTTCCCCGACGGGTCGGAGCCAAATCCCATGCCTAACCCTCAAAATTTGATGGCCAGTCTTCCTAGTGTCTTCAAGAACTTGCTGCAAAAATGCAAATGTAAGGTAATGTTTGGTACACACATTGGATGGGATAGGACATAACTAATTGTCTGTCCCACATTTGGTATGATTAGGACAAGACAAAACTCATTATCTGTCTTGCGTTTTGTAAGTTGGACAGAATAGTACAAAATTATTAAAAATGACCATATTGCCCCTTCTTTTTCTCTTCTTACTTGTTCCTCTCTCGATGGTCTGATTTTCTACAAACCAAACCAAAATCATAAACAAAGCACTTTGACAATGGCCCTGGAATCAAAAAGCATTCAAAATCATTGAATCCATGGAAATCTTAGAAAACAGCAAACCACTGAATCCATTGAAATAAAAAAAAACATAAAACAATTGAATCCATTGAAATAAGAAAACGGAAAACCTTGAAGTCAGTTTTATGGATCAGAAAACAAATGCACTTCGGTAGCCATGGAAAATAAAACAAATTCATTTCAGAAAACAAATTAGATTTACATCACTCGATAATCATGGAAGTCGACAGCCATGGAAATCAACAATGGAAATCGAGAATCAAGGAGAGTCAACATCATGAAATTGATCAAAACCATGGAGAAATCTGGAAGAATTGATGAATTGGAAGAAATCATAGCTGAGAAATCGATTGTGTGTGGAGGCGATGTGAAGAACCGGAAGAAGTCGTGCAATAGGATGAAGGGCGATGATTTTGGATTAGGATTAGGATTAGGTTCATGTATTAGATGGTTCTAAAAAAAGGGTAACATAGTAATCTTCTAATTTAGTCCCATGTTGTTCCACCTATTTTGGTGGAACAAAAATTCTTAAGTTTTGTCCCATTAAACCAAGTTTTTGTCCCATGTTGTCCACTCTGATTTTTATCCCATGGTATACCATACATGGGACTGTTTTTTGTCCCATCCTGTCTCATTTATTCTGCATATTAAAAGGCACCCTAAAGGAGGATGAATATATTGACATAATATAAGTTTGTGAAGGTGATGATCAGGAAAACCCCAAAATATTCATATATTGTCAATTCTAACCCTAAAGTTTATTGGTTGTTCTTTTGGACCCTATACTTAATCTTAAGTCAATATCTATCACCCCTCAACAAAATTGTCAAATATTATAGGATTTTGTTATTGTGTTTGTCATAAGGTTGGTTCAGATCCAATATAGAAGACACGGTTGATCATAAAGAAAGGTGTATTTTTCCTAAGCAAAGGTTTGTGCGTTAAGATTCTCTCTAATTAAAGCATGTTTAGGCATATTGTGAGAAAATGATATGATGTCATCATCTAAAACATCTCCAACTGTTCTAGTCCCATAGTCAATCATGGTGAAGACAATCATGTGTGACAAAGACAGTCCCACTTCAACCGTCATTTCGTAACGCATAAACTGCCATATTAGCTATTCTATTCATAACATGTAAGCAAATCATGAAACCGTGCATCATTATGTCGCGAGGCTTAGTCCCACTTCAACCGTCGAAGCTTTATAAATACACTAAATTACTTATGTGATGCTTTATAATGAGTTTTAAGCGACTAGTAAGCATTTCTAGCAACTTTTCTTCCCTAAATCCTACAGTTTATACGCAACAACTAGAGATTAGATGCCATTAAAGAAGTGTGCTAGAAACGAATTTGAATTAACATTCATTTGAGTCAAAAATAATGATATATGAAGCGACTCAAGCGAGCTCCAAAAATTTGCTACTATATTGCAAGGCCAACAAGCTTCGATGAGTCAACACAGTTGAAATTTTAAATCATGAAGAGAGATCTTTGTAGGAAAGTAGTTAACTAAATTTCTCTTGATGAAACGAATAGGAAATCGACATTTATCAAAATTTCGTTACCTGATGAAGAAAAATAGTTAAACTACTAAATCATACGCCTTATTGTCTCTTATGTCCTAAGATAGAGCTGATTTATGAATCCCACGTCATCATGTTACTAGGTTTGGTTTCACTTTATCCATCAGTGCCTTCAGGGATTCTTTTAGATTACTCGTTTAACCTTTTAAGGTACAACTGATTTATGAATCCCACCTCTTCGTGTTACTAGGTTTGGTTTCACTTTATCTATTGGTGCCTTCGTCGATGCTTTAGATTACTCGTTTAACCTTTTAAGGTACAGCTGAATTATGAATCCCACCTCTTCGTGTTACTAGGTTTGGTTTCACTTTACTTATTGGTGCCATCGTGGATGCTTTAGATTACTCGTTTAACCTTTTAAGATACAGTTGATTTATGGATCCCACCTTATCATGTTACTAGGTTTGTTTTCACTTTACCCATTAGTGCATTCGTGGATGCTTCAAGTTACTCGTTTAACCTTTTAAGAGACAGTTGATTTATGAATCCCGCCTCATCGTGTTACTAGGTTTGGTTTCACTTTACCCATTGGTGCCTTCGTGAATGCTTTAGATCACTCGTTTAACCTTTTGTGTAATGTTTAATAAACTAATCAAATTTAGACAATTTTATTCCCCCCGATTCTTATATTTCTCATAAGAATTAGCACTCCAGCAACATCAAAAAACCTCTTAAGAAACCAAAAATGAACTTGGGTTTCTAGGACGTTCATATGAGTTAAAAAGATATATAAAATGGGTCTCAAACTTCTTTTCTAGATATGGAAGGTAACCAAGTTACGATAACGTCACATGATTAAATTCAAGACAGAATTCTAGAAAGGAAAGAAAGTTTAACTAATTTTTCCAGAGCAAAACCTAGCAAGATTTAACATTTGTCGTCTTCTCATTCTTTGAAAAGGGGAAACAACTAAACTATAAAAGACCCATCGACGCCTGCTCTTTGATTGGGGTACTATGACCTAGGTTCCTAAACTTGGAGGCTTTCAAGCAGCTCTTTCAACTGTCGCCTAATCCCCCGGGCTAGAACTGCTAAGCCAATGTTACATACAACAGTACCTAGAACTCCTATCGAAAAAAATATATAAAAGATCTTCGGAACATGCATCCATACAACCGACAACAAAAACATCTCATACCGTCAACCCTAATCAACTGGGATCTACACCTCTGAGATTAAGGTACATGCTCATTAGATGCCTCACTCAGTGTTTTTATAGACCCTTAAACGTTTGTTGGTACGATTGGATTGCAAAGATGAATAGGAAAACAGTACGATTGAACAGATTTAAGAAACTTACGAGAACTACAAGGTCTAGTTAGAAGAATGAGTGAAGTTGGAGGGGGTAAATATTCATTCGAGAGTATATAGCGGATCTTGCCTTTGGATGGTTACCCGGTTAGGAGAAGACGAGCAAATGCAAAAGTCAAAATGTCAACCTTTTGACCTAGCTCCGAAGATATTTCTTGGATCTTCTTGAATCTAATCAATCGTCTTCACTTCAATTTTTGGGATCAGATCTCAACAGCGTTTGGTGTAACCAGGTAAGAAATCGTTTCCATATACACGGATTTTGTTGTTGGGTGTTTTGATCTCGTCAATTTCCGATCCCCTTTTTTAGATTCACGCTGGATTGATCGACCAACGGAGTTGCAGCGTGATCTCAGAACAGGTACTTTTCTTAAGTTTCATCTGAAATCTTAAACCCATTCGTTGAAATTGCGTATTACGTCGGTGTACAGAAAGACAATCTGTCGAATTTTGATTTCTGATTCGAGGAGCTTTAATTCTATTGCGTATACATCTAAACCTAATTTTGTCCAAGGGACCAATTTTTAATCTGAACGTTGTTTCTTGTTTCCAATTCTAAGAATAAATCTTAGAACAAAAACAACAAATGAAAGGCTGCTATCGCTTTGACTTGTGGTTTCATTTTACGGCTTTTTCAAATGCAAAGTTGATATGAATTATGAAGTTTGATCTTGGGATTTTTTTTGTCTGATCAAATTTGAAGTTGAAATCTTCTTTCAATTTATAAAACAAGAAATCTTTCAACAGTCATGGTGCTATTTCCAAAATACTCATTGGATTTTGTCAGTTTTTCTTCAAACACCCTTTGAATTCAATGATCATTTGTCGGGAATTGGAAGTCTGTGAAGTGTCTTTGGTAATTAATTGATTCAATCTTATTTTATAGCTTAAGATGTAGTGTTTTTTTATAGGAAATCTCAATTCATCGTCAGTGAATATGGGATATCTTAATTCAATTCCGGGTCAACCCAATGGGGATTCCCCTGTTAGTGGTGGTGGACTCAGTCAAGATTCAAAATTCAGCTATGGGTTTGCAAGCTCTCCTGGAAAGAGATCTTCAATGGAAGATTTCTATGAGGCAAGAATTGACGGTGTAGATGGTGAGACAGTTGGCCTCTTTGGAGTCTTTGATGGTCACGGTGGTGCTCGGGCTGCAGAATATGTCAAACAACATCTGTTTACTAATCTTATTAAACACCCAAAGTTCATATCTGATACCAAAGCAGCTATATCTGATGCATACAGTCATACAGATACCGAATTTCTGAAATCAGAGAACAATCAGAACAGAGATGCTGGATCAACTGCTTCCACCGCCATTCTTGTTGGTGACCGTTTACTGGTTGCAAATGTTGGAGACTCAAGAGCTGTTATTTGCAGGGGTGGTAAAGCCTTTGCTGTTTCTCGCGACCACAAACCTGATCAAAGTGATGAACGACAACGTATTGAGGATGCTGGGGGCTTTGTCATGTGGGCAGGAACTTGGAGAGTTGGTGGTGTTCTAGCTGTTTCTCGTGCATTTGGTGATAAGCTGTTGAAGCAATATGTGGTGGCTGATCCAGAAATCCAGGAGGAGAAGGTTGACAACTCGCTCGAGTTTCTGATCCTGGCAAGTGATGGACTTTGGGATGTTGTGACAAATGATGAAGCTGTTGCAATGGTTAAACCGATCCAGAGCCCAGAAGAGGCATCAAAAAGGCTGATGCAAGAAGCTTCTCAGAGAGGTAGTGCTGATAACATTACAATAGTTGTTGTCCGTTTCTTGGACAATCAAGGGGGTTGCTTTCCTAGCGGTGGTTCAACTTCCCATTAAAATGGGAGTGTGGCCGGCCGTGTGCACTAATAGAGAACATAGATCTCTGGGCGTTTATAGATATTGCGTTTTTCAGTTCCTAGTGAATGTTTGATGCAAGTCGTTCCTGACAAAGTTTCTACTGTTTAATTTTCTGTTATTGCATTTTCAAAAGTCCAGTGGTTGTAGTTGTTTTAAGTTTTTTGTTAAGTTCTGTGTGCGTTGAAAAAACAATAAATGTACAAGTACCGTTTATTTAAGTCGATTTGTGTAATTTCAAAGTGTGCAAAGTACGTTGACTCTAATTTGTGTAATGATCATATGGAAAAACATATCTTCTGACCTGTATGTCTCTTGGAAGCTTATGTGATTGGCTATATGCAAAGCTTAATTGCGCTCTCGAGAGTTCTTGTGCAGCGTGGAGTCCCATATTCCGCTCCAACGACCACCAAGGTTGTTGATGTGATCTCACAAGCTGTCAATGAGATTGAAAGTCATTGGGCAAGCGCTTACCACGTAAGAGTCACCATCCTCATTTGTCTTACCGGCTAAGATTGCACCAGTAAAATGATACCTTAAGATTGTTGATAAATACCGTCATCTTTGACCCGGTAAACACCCCTTACCGGTAAGAGACGGTAAATGTTCAGTTGAGGAGATAAGTAACCCCTTAATTTACAACTGATTTGTAGACAAGGTTCTAAATAGAGTGAGACGTGGAGTCAAGGTCAAGCCTCAAAACTTAGGAGTCACGGCAAGGCCATGACATTTTTCAAGGCATGACTTATGAAGGCAAATCTATATTCATATATATATATATATATAGAGGAGCGATCAAATGAAAACCACTCCAATTTGTCTATATATATAATTGTATGTATATACATATGTTTTTAACTATTGTTTAATGAATCAATGATATTACACATTCTACATTAGGTTATATATAGCATAAACTAAAAAATAAGATACTAAAAGTTCAGAAAATCAATATCGCATCATCAAAAACTGTTGAATTAGGTCATGGCGTGCCACAAGTTCAATGTGACGTCAGCCACAAGCGTGGAGTCATGGCGCGCCATGGTGGCTGTCGTGACGAACCTTTTAAAACATTGTCGGTAAAAAAAGATGTCATACCCAAGAAAGTAGACCACATTTTTCTAGCATAAATAACAAATATGCTACTATTTGTCGTTTATGTTAGAAAAAAATTGACAATCGTGATTTCTTAACAATAACATAAAAAATTGACATATTTCTCAAAGTTGATCTTGGAGTTTTAATAAATTATCTTGAACTTCCTTTTTTACCCTTTATTATCGCATCTAAGGAAGTCATAAACCCTAAAAATGGTATGCTAAACATGAATCTTGTGTCCTTTTCCAGAATTGACCTAGTAGAAAAGAAGCGGCATTTCCACAACAAGATATTTGGTTCAATATTGCACTCTCACCCTGTACTAGCACGCCACAATTTACCATTCCATGAAGATTGTGAGACCATTACAATGTGAATGCTCTGAAGGACAGCTCAAATCATTTCTTCCATATCATCATGAGAATTTGAGCACAATTTGTCGTGTATAGTGGATGTGGATGTTTCATCTCAACAATCTATAGACATTTTTAACAAAAACGATACTGAAAAATATCAATATATAACCAAACATTTAAATGAGGCCACCAAAATAAAAGGAAAACGATCAAATGCAATATTCCTAACTTTTAAATCAATATCATTTACAATAAATTCAACAAAATTCACCGCTAAAAGCAAAATAAAAATAATATAACATTCATGACCATTATTTGTTTGCCAAATGTGTGCATTAAAAGCTAATGTACTAAAAGTTCATCTGTAGACAACCGGTAGTGTAAAACTTCTTACAACCAACAATCCTTTTGCGACCAATATCATACGACACATCTCATTGCTTTGTCTCCCTCCTCGAGCATTGATGCTTAACTTATCTGCATCATCATCGATGTTGCTTTGCAACCCATATGTTGTTTTTGGATATACCCTGTGATTTCACCGTTATCCTCCTCCTACTGATGTCGTCGTTACTCCTCTTTCTCTATGACATTGCTTTATTTTTAGGAATTTGTTTTTTATATTTTAACCATCAAACAAATATAATCAAGGTACTTTGATAATTTTTTGGTCATATTTAATGTAAATAACACCGATTTGAAAGACATTCATATCTCAATTAGCTTATTTAAAATATATATCAAACTTATATATTTAGTTTTAATAAAAAAAAAAATTATTGATCAATTTAACTTTTTGCAAAAGAAATGTACATTTTTGTTGAATAAATCTTTAACTAAAACCATATAATCAATGTAATATAATTATATCTAATAGAAGTTAATAGATATATTAATAATACTGAGTTCCATGAAAACGTCAGTTTTCGTTAAAAGTGAGAGAAATATAACATTCACATAATATAACGTAATTTTACATAACATATGTAAATGTATACTTATATTGTCTGAAGGCGAATGAATGTGACCGTCTTCTCAAAAATTGGTGAAGGTATACATTCACCGGTTTGTACCTTCAAAAAATATAATGTAATATTTATACAAAAATCTTTTTTATCACATGGTATTAAGATATCCTTTGATACTACAACAAACTCGGATATGTATCTGATTGTCATAATAGACTATTTTATAGAACTTAAGTTTATAAAATCAAATACTTATGCGTCATATCTAAAAATGTTGTAATAAGTTTATAAGATGTTTTTCAACGTCTTAATAAGCTTTTTAGAGCACTTATGAAACAAAGTGTCATATTAACTCTTTTTATGACAATATTTGAAAAAGTATCATATAAAACAATATGTATTTACATGATATTTTTCAAAAATATTCTATAAAAGGGTTATACGACACTTTATTCAAAAGTGTTTTCACAGGTTTGGTAAGACGTTTAGAAATGTCCTATAAACTTATTACAATATTTTTATATAACATATAAGTGTATGGCCTATAAATTTAAATCATGTAAAGTTATTGACATATCAGGACAATTAAGGACAATTCACTTTTGGTACCCTATAAGCCAAGTTATTGTCATGTAAATTGGCAAGCGAATGGTCTAGATCTTTGAGTTATTGTAGTGGAATGATAGGTATTTGTACCCTGTGTAACACATCAAAATCACATTTGCATAAAAACATATATTTCTATAAATAAAGAAATACAACTTTACACATTCGGTATCAATATTTACAAAAGCTACATTACAAGTAGCTACTAAAATTTTCCACAAAATCTATACACAAAACTTGTATATATAACAAGTATTCAGATACAAAAGATAACATGTTATCCTTAACATCTCATGCAAGCACACACACACACACACACACACACACACACACATATATATATATATATATATATAATTCTTCACAATTTTCCTTTATCCTTATCTTCTGATTGAACCCGACATGTAATGCACATTTTCCAAAATACCAAAAATGAAGGTTTAGACCTTGAGGTCTAATGAAAATTCCCATTATTTGCTATTACAGGATGAATAACCACCAAATCATATTTATAGACTCATATTTGTGTTGATAACCAATAACCAACATATTTAATAACAAACCTCTTTTGTCGCATAAAATGATAAGACAACTCATTTAACACATTCTGGTAAAATTTATCACAACATATAGATGAATACATAATTCCTCGCATCACTTGGAGGAGACAACTCCATCTCCTCAAAATTAAATTTTTGCAAAAAAAAGGACAAGATATTAATTATTTTGTAAGAAAAAGAACATAAAATTAAAAATATAATTTTTAATGATATAATTGATGTTAAAATATCTAAAATAGAGAAATTGTTAGAGATGTCTAACATTTGATGATCAAGGAGTGGGATGTATAAAAACAAATTTTAAGCTGAAAACCAACAAATTTGACAATATT